CATCATCACCTGAGCACGTAGACCTGGCAGATGTGTGGCGTAGCAGACCAGGTAGATCATCATCACCTGAGCACGTAGACCTGGCAGATGTGTGGTGCAGCAGACCAGGTAGATCATCTGAGCACACAAACGTTACCTGTCTCTGCACAGGCTGGAAGCCCCAGCTCTTCTCTCTGTGGCCTGGTGTGCTGCTGTGCCCATAAGATGCGTGACATTCCTTTACTGCCCCAGGACCAGGACTTACACTGACAGGCTCTTAGTCAGTGTAGATGAAACAAACAGCAATCAAAGGCTGGAGAACAACTCCGCTACCTTCTGTGTACTTGGAACTGTACTGGTTTTGGAGTCCCTGGGTGGTGCAAACAGTTAAGTGCTCGACTGCTAACTGCAAGGTTGGAGGTTTGAGTCCACCCAGAGGCACCTCAGAAGAAAGGCCTGGGTGTCTACTTCTGAAAAATCAGTCACTGAAAACCCCTGGGGCACATCTCTACTCTGACTCACAGGGGGTCGCCATGAGTCGGAGCCAGCTCAGTGGAAACTGGTTCCTGGCACTGTGTTCAAGTGCTGTGGCTGACTTTATGTTTAAGCTCGTCCTCACAGTAACCGTGCAGTGCAGCCAGGCACGTGTCACTGCTCCCGTCTTACAGATGAGGAAACTGAGGCCCCCAGATAATTAAGAACTTGGCTAGTGTCATGAGACTGCTGAGCAGCGTCACTGAGGTGAGAAGCGATGTCTGTCTGTCCCCTGTCCAGAGTTATTTCCATCTTAGCTCAGCCTCCCAGTGCTGGAAGTGCTAATAATGCATGTTCCGTGATGCACCCAGATCACAGTACACGTGTTTCCTCAGTAGTTTGAAAAGCAGATTATACATAGCACCACGATGTCTGTTATACCGAAACTTCCAGGAAAACAATAAATACTGAGTTTCAGCATGTTCAAAGGACTTTAAACACCCTGCCTATAAAAAGTTAATTCTGGAAACTTCCAGAGTGTACATATGAATGTGTATACTGCCGAAAAGTAGAAGAGAGATTGTACTAACTGTGGCCTAATGTTTAAAAAAAAAAAAAAATCCCCCCGATGAGCAGAAACTCGCTGTGGGATCAGTTGAGGCCACATACGTAACAGAAACGTCATCATCTTCGGGAGTTTTCAGCGTTGTATCTCACACAGGATGTCTCCGTTGACCGTTTACTTCCCAGACCCTGTTACTGCTACAATGTCTCTCCCCAAACCATCTAACCGGATCATCTCTGACATTTGTTGACCCCATGTGTGTCAGAGTAGAGCTGCGCTCCAGAAGGGCCCTCAATGGCCAGATCACTAGGCCTTGCTTCTGAGGCGCCTCTGGGTGGACTCGAACCACCAACCTTTTGGATCGTAGCTGAGTGCTTAACTGTTTGCGCCACCCGGGAGTTGCCCGAAACTTTTCAGTGCAGTGAATAACTTGTCCTCGAGCCCCAGACCCGCCCACGCTGGGAAGATGAGTCAGGTGCCGTGCGGTCAGCGCACGCAGCATCAGCGTGTCCGAGTTCACACGGGCACCGGTGGATTCCGGGGGAGCAGGAAGGCCTTCATCATTACCAGCTGCCTGAGATAACTTCATCCCCCTTGTCTCCAAGACCCCCGTCTTTTCTCCAGTCCCTGCAATCTCTTCCTCTGCTCCCCCTTGCCGTCTCTTAACTGGAGAAGCTTCTGCCTTGTCTGACATGAAAGGTGGTTCAGTTCTGAGCTCTTTGGCCACCCATCAAAGGCTGAGCCTCGATGATGCAATGTCATGAGGGCTCAGAGGTCGCCAGATGTTACTGGCCTGGTAGAACATAACAGTACATGTCAGAGCCAGCACAGTGCTGGGGGAGGGGTCCGCAGCAGGGTCCCCTTTGGGCCTAGTGTGAGCTCGGGGTGATGGCATTCTCCATGGTGTGCAAACATAGCGGATTTCCTCAATGCCCAGTTGCATGCCAGAACATTCTTTACTGGAACTTGGTCAGCCCAGAAAGGACTTCTGTTCCCATTGATATTCAGAGACAGCGAGATGACTCATGTATTTCACTTCCCTTCCCTTAGCACCAATATAGCCAGCTGTATCTGTGCCTTTGCCCATACTTGCTAGTGGTGAATGGTTAGGGGGAAAAATCCCTCCTTTGTTCTGATGCTATTTTAGGCCTGGCTAGTAAGATTCAAGCCCTTATTTCAGGAGAGGAACAGAACATTTTTAGTTTAAGTTTTTTTTTTTTTTATTTTTGGTAAACAAAGATTTTGACAAATAAGTATGAAATCACTTGCTCCGTTCTTCTCCCGTCCAAACCTTCCTGCCTTGTTTCCATGACTTCTGGATTTTGCATCCTACATATTTTGGTTTGTAACTCATACAGTGTTTATTTTGCAAGTTAAGTAGCTTTTCTTTGTTTTTCTGGACTTTGTCCCCTTGAGTTTCATTCTTCACACAGAAAGTTGAGCACAAACAATACATCAGAGATACTGACGAGGCGGTCAGGTAGCCGTGAGGTAGGAGGAAGTGTCTCCCAGGCTGCTCGAGGAAGTGTCTCCCAGGCTGCTCGAGGAAGTGTCTCCCAGGCTGCTTGAGGAAGCCTCCTGCTGGCCTACGCCTTGCGCGCCACGTGGTAGCAGTAATAGAGCAATGCCTGTGCTGTTATTCAGAAAGCACTAATTTTTGCTTAGCAATGCTTTCTCTTGGCCCCAAAGATTTAGCTCTCAGTCTAGATTAGCTGATTATAAAATAAAAGGTCAGGTTCTCACTAGCCAAATAGCAGATGTCTTCATCGTGTTGCTTTTCTGAGTAAGTTACCCCTTCTTCACAGAGTGGAGAGGAGAAAATGCCTCTAAGCATGTTTGAACAAATGTCACCCGCCTCATGATTAGGGTCAATAGGCAGCAGAAACTGTGGGGTGCATCTTTCAGTAGCTGGGACCCTTTCATTGAGGGGAGTCTTTCTGCCTTGTTCCCAAACTGTCTCATATCAGATAACACAGTTTTTGGGCTGAGTCTACAGGCTCTTGTGATGGGATAGTGATGGTGGTGGAGGTGGTGGTGGAGATGGTAGTGGTGAATGGTGGTGGTGGAGGTGGTGATGGTGGTGATGGTGGAGGTGGTGATGACGGTGGTGGTGGTGGTGGTGGTGGTGGTGGTGATAGTGG